ATGCCACAGAGCTGTCGCAGCAGTTGTAGCAAGAGGACAGGAAAAGAGCCCCTTCAGTACCTCTCTCCCACTAGGAGCTGCCCACAAGCCTGCAAAGCTCATCTTCCCTCCCAGGAATGCACAATATATCTTCTGCTGTTGTCTACTAATGTTGCCAAGCTTGAGGATCAAACAGCAAAAAGCTGCTCAGTTCTGAAGGCACAGAGGGTCAAAATGTTGCATGTGCTGGACAAGAGAAGGGTTGCTTCAGTTCTGCATATGGCTTCACCTGTCGTCCTCTGCAACTGAGGAAGCTTTATTTTATATACATGTTTTGCAGATTCAAACATATAACGTGTATATAACGTGTATAAAAACTACAATAAAATAACGCAGGTGGCAAAGTGAAGCATTCAAAAATGAAGTAACGACAAATTTATTGCCTGAGCAATATGTGTAACCACCTTATAAACTGATCACAAACTACTTTTTCAAAAGGACCCTTTCAGTGCTTTCTTCAGGGCACAGGGCATTCACACCGACAGGCAGAGTTACACTGGTGCATACCCAGCTTCCCTAAAGCCTTGGGAACAAGGCATACTTCCAGTTGAAATAGATCCAAGAATGTACCATGGTTGTAAATCACTGTGCTATAAAGCCTGTGTATCACAGAGGAAGTTTTCGGTTATTTGTGAAAATTTTCATTTTTTCTTGTCAAACACATGAGGGTTTTTCTGGGTCTTTAATATGCATATTAATCTACATATGAATTCAAACAACCAAAGGATGAGGCCATCTGATTTACCAAAACCTTGATTTCCTCCCACTAGGAGATTCCAAAAGGTAACCATGAGCAGAAATTATTATCTCCACAAAAAACAGGCAGAAAGTGTGCACATGCACACGCATGCATGTACTGAAGGGAGTGTGGGGCTGAGCAAAGCCGAGTAAACGTGGACTAAACAGAATACTAACCATGGGTCACTATTCAACTTTTGTTTGAATAACCATTTCAAGTGTCCACATTGGCTGGATTATTAACAGCATGTTCTCTCTTAACTTTATTACAGAATTATTACCTATCTCCACAATGTGGGGAAGCTAAATCCAAAAGGTGTATTCTTTGTTATTTTTGCGCTATTCAAAAATAAAACTGTAGAGTTGAAAATCTGCCCTATGAACTTCACTGTGGAGGCTAGTAGGACTCATAATGTGAAACAGAAATACACTTGTTTTACCTATGATTTCCATGTCTAAATATTATAGATTTATTTTCCTCCAAGTGGGGGTAGGAAAAATGCATACGTCTTGCTAGCCACCAACACATTTACATGAGGCTCATTAATTCACAGGGGATCATATATAGAGGTGTAAGTAGATTCAAGGAAACTAACAATTCTGATAAATTATTTTCACAGGAATTAAAACCAATTAAAATGCAAAACAATAATTAAAATATGTTGTGTAATTACTGTTCTTTAGAAAGCAAACAAATACTACTAACTGGTTTTCTTGCCGTGAAAAATCCATTAGTTACTCTGTGTCACTCTGGCACAAATTTTAAGACCCAGCTTTTAGGTTAGGGTATGTGCGTGTGTGCAGTGGGGAACCTCACTGAAGCATTTGATTAGGGAGAGTAATTGGAAAAAATTACGAGAGTTCTAAGTAGATAAACAACAATATTAACCTATGAGCCTTTTGAAAATGCAGTAGAGGCAAAAAATACTGTACCTTGTTCCTATATCGAGCCAGCTTCCATAATCTTTAACCAAAAAGAAAAAGTGCTAGGAAATAAAACAACTTTGATTAGTATATCAACATTGCACAACCTGAAGCACAAAATTAAAAACAATGTTTTCAGACTGTTTACTCCAAGTTTTTAATTCTTCAAGTAGAACAAGGGTAAGACCTTTCCAGGAATGCTCATTTGGACCAAAGGGAAGAATATTCTGGGAGCCAGAAATAGATTTAACAAGGCTTCAAACACAAACAGCTAAAGATGTACTAAGTTCTGTCAAGTTGCGTTTGCAAGAAGCAAGGAAGATTACCAGCAGAGAACCTCTTCAGAAAGAAAAGCCAAACCACTTTATTGCTTAAAATAACGGATCTCATATAATCTCTTGTGCCAAAGAGAAGGCTACATAGTGTTTTCTTGGAATTTTGTCCCAAATCAATTCAGGCAGTTCCCCATCTATAAAACGGGAATAACGGTGGCAGAAGACACAGCCTGAGCGGTCTATTAGTTAATCCCCTAAATTCTAGCTGATGACCACATTAAGCATATAATAAGATTCAAGACCATAAACCAGTTTTGTTTTATTTTTTTCTACCACCTTTTCCATTTCTTGTACAGGCACAGTTCCTGCATATCAAACCTCTTTGGTCATATTTTGCTTTGTACACCACTACATATGTGCAAATTGTTTTAAAAATCATTAAGTCAAAGTAAAATAATATGTGAAATATGTACCCCTATGACTGAGGTCTTATATCTCCACTGTTTTTTCCTTTTGGTCTAGTTGGACTGATTTTATTAGTGAAATGTAACGAGTGTGGTTTACTGGTATTTTTATCCTTTTCCCACGGCAGTTACAAAAAATCAGTTTAGTCACAAAGATTTGTTTAAAATTACACAAAACTATACCTTCTCCATTTCTCACTCTACAGACAAATGAGTCATTATTCGGTTTTGTACCTGTTGTTTTTCCTATAAGCTAAGATCCATAAATCACACTGTACAATCAAGTCACATTAGGAATACTTACTCCAAAGGGTTGAAACTAAAACAGTATGTACAAAGGGAGAACATCAACTCTACCTCCCGCTTTTAAAACGTTTGTGTTTATTTTGTGATACCTTGGGCACTGGTTGCTGGGTTGAAGATAGCTTGAGAGGGCACTAAATATGTACTTTTAATCACTAACAAGTACGTTGGGGGATTGTTTGGATTTGGGTTATTTTAACACGGACACAAGTTCACTGAAGAAAATTCTTCCTAATAGCTCATTACAAAGAGCACAAAATCTCTTTTCAGACGTTACAGAGCTCCTGGATTCTGACCACTCTGACACGGGAACTGGTGGGTAATACATCTTCCCTTTTCTCTTTTTTTCAGGGAAAAGGGGAGGGGAACAAGGAGAAGGTTCAAAATTCCTGAAAATTAACTAAACCTGTCACACAGCTAAAAGTGATATTTAAATTCTTCTTATGAACTTGACTGGAAAACATATGAAAAACTGGGAATGATAACTTATAAGAGAGTCAAAAAGTGAAGTAATAATTATATTGCCTCTTCAGAGGTATTAATTGCATGAAACTCAGAGTGGTGATTGGAGGAGTTTTATCTCTAAATTATGCTAGGATTCTGATTCAATTCACTGCCCTAGTTCCAACAACTTTGAAGTCTGAAACAAATTCAGATCTCCCCAGATGGAATTAGGAGAGTACTCTGCTTCTTGATCTTATTTGAATAGAATGTGCAACAGCAGCTTACCAAAGCCATAACGTCTGAAATCACAAGAACAATGAGGAAAAGGCTGAAAGAGAAAAAAAAGAACCAGACCATCAACCTTTATTCATGGCCACAGACAATTACAAAGCTCACTAAAACCCCACTAAGAAATTAAAATATGATATGACTTCTTGCACTTGCCTTTCAATCACTCAGATACATTTCAATGTACTAGAGAACAGACTAGACCATTTGGTGCTTGCAGTCCCACGCTGCTTAAAAAAGACACTTCAGATTAACAGAGCTTCAGTTTTGCAACAGAGAAACCTAACACAAGTCATTTACCAGAAAACAAGAACAGCATCCCAAAGGCTGGGTGCTAGGCATCCTTTTAATTCACTTCAAAAACAAATGTTACAAACAGCGTCTGCCCATTCCTGACACAGGGAGCTTAATGTGCCAATTAAGCCAAATAAAGCTGATTGGGAAGCTTCAATATGGGTTCAAGAGTGACCAAAACTGCTTTTGTATACGCAAATACCTGAGCTGATCAGTCCCATTCTGGCAACCAGCCCTGCTAGGAAGAAGGGGAGAGCTTCCCCTCCAGACCCCTCTGGGTGCCTCAAAGCTACCCCAGGAACACCCAGCATTTTGGGGGCATGCGCCCAAACCCACGGCCCTCTTTGTCAGACAGCAGACTACTTCAGGAAAGTAGAGTGCACCCAATAAAATGAACCAAAAGGGAACACACAGAGCTGTTCTTTCCCCATTATCTTAATCTTCTTTTCATTAAACTATGTAAATCCTAAATTACATGAAGGCAGTTGCTATAACTGGTTAAAGCTAGTTGCTAAGTTAATGATGTTGAAGCAATGTTGCAAACAGCTGACCCATTAACAGAAAAGTCTCTAACTATAACACAGTTCATTTACCAGTACCATCATCATAAATACGTGAAGGTTTTTTTGGAAAATGTCCTACTGTAGCATTGCATGCACATGTACTGGGGGACACCCATACCAACGTCTCCTGATGAGAAAGCTGTATCTTCTAACATTGCCCAAGTCTAGGCAATGCTTCATTAGTAAATAAGGATGCAACCAACCTATTATTTCTCAGACTCACTGAAATTTTCTCTCAAATTACGTGTGGCTCAGATAGGATACTGCAATCTTGTAGTGCCTTGTAAGCACTCAACTAGAGGGCTGTTTTAACAGGCAAGTTATACGAACATACTCTGACAGAGTATTTCCCGCGAGCAGCAAAAAATTTCCTTTACCTATAAACAGGGAGTTTGGGAGCAATTTGTCCAAATCATAAAATCTGGGTTCTGCCCTCCTGAAGTGCAGGAAGCCTTTCACAGTGGAAGGACAATACTAATCTCAAGAGTACGTTCGCAACAATACAAAGACACAACAGCTGCCTGCGACGGCTTAAGCTAGCTAGCAGGGGCAGCGAGAGCAATAACGAGCCTGCAGCACAGGCTCTGGGACGTGCTGTGCTGACAACCAGAGCACAACCCCCCCAGGGATCCTGGGTACATCCTCAGTTACTGCCTCGTTCCCCAGCCGACGCTGCGGCAGTATCATTGCAAGTGTTACCTGAGCAGCTAAATCAAGCCAGCACAAACACCGTTCTCGGTTACAATCACAGCCTCATAAAGCTGCACAGAGGTACTCACATCCCCTGTTTTAAGAAGTGTATATAATTTCCCCTCTCTCACACACACATGCGCATGCCATAAAAAACTACTGGCGCTGCCAGGGCAGGCACTCAGAAGTTCAGGAACGCTGACCTTTACGATGCCTCACCCGTATAAAGGTGAATGGGTAGCTGGTCCTCTGAGCAACCCTTGCCCGCAGCACAGGCCTGCTGCTGCGTGAGCCTTGGTGAGGAGGGCAGACACCCTCCCTCGCGGTCTGGGATAGCCCCCACGTGCCCGCAGAGCTAAGGCACAGAAGGTGGGTGCAGTGGGGAGCCTTAGGCCACCTCTCCAACAGCAAGGGGGATCGCACCTGGCTGCCACATCCTTTGTCAGAACTGGATGGCATTATGCAAAGACACAACAGGCAGGGCACAAGCAGGATGAAACCAAATAGAAAGGCACAGGGCATCACATGGAGCAATGGCAGCTTTCCTGAGCTCAGCTGAGCCACACGTAGGATATGGTCACTGCAGTCCTCCTGCCACAGGCCAGTGAGACTTCTGGTCAACCCCATGCAACATCCCACCGTGATAAACTCAAAACTACATGACTGACAGGGACATCCTCCTTCACGGCATCATCCATAATCCTACCTGACAAGCACAGGATCCAACCACGTACCCTTGGTCCACTGAAAGGGCTAGGGAGGGGTAAGAGTTTAATCTGGGCAGCATTAACTTGCCACAGAAGGGTGTACGGACTACCTTTTTTCTTTTGTTTCCTTTGAAATGCTATTTGTGGTGAGGTCAAAAGCTACAAAGCTCTAAATTGGTTATATTATACATGTGTTATTTAAAATATTGTACTATAGGTAGAGATGCAATATAAAACAAAAATCAAATTTTAAACTCTGTTCATTTTTCTACATTAAGGGAAAAAAGGTGTTCCTGCTATGTACTATCAACAAAGAATATTAAATATCTGATTGTTTCAGACAGGGCCAACATTCCCATTTATACTCATTTATTACTCAGAAAAGGATTTCTGAGCTTGCAAAAACAACAAAAACCCCAAACGATAATATCAAATAAAAGTAACAATATGATCTACTGACTGTTGTTTTTTTTAAAAAAGATTAAGATTTAACTACAAATTCTTGCAAAATATATTTGAAACCCTACTAATGTAGAAATATAGCACTTACTGTACCTTTTAGAAGAAAGCTGTGTTGTGACTTGAACAGCTTCAAAAGCACATGATACCAAAACAAATGGGATTACAACCTGTTTAAAACATAAATTATATTTTAGTTTACAATCACATTTACAAAACAACCTGGAAGGCTGAGGAAGCATTTTCACACTTTCCAAATTATCATGAAATGTTTATGGTTTAAAAGCAAAAATATTGGCAAGAAAAGGTTGAAAATCATTTTGCAGGAATTAGTAAATGAATAAAAAAAACCTTCCATGGTCACAGCTGAACTGCAGAGAAACAAACCATGAGGCTATATGGAGACCGTAACTAACACACACTAATGGTCCTCACTTCATTTAACCATTTTTGCTCTGATGATAAATACTTCAAAAGGGCTAGAACACAAAACTATTCAGGTTCAATATCTCACACGGTAGACTGCAGAACTCTAAGTACGATAAGATAATCTCACAAATACCAGAATATACATTATGTTCCTCAACAAAAGGATAACCCTGCTCCTCCAAAACCAAGTCAAGCAAATGTAAATTGTTCAGTGAATTAAAAAAATATGTTAGTAACATAGTTTTTTCTAATTTAAGTCTGCTTTCTCTGGGATAGAAGCAAGAGAAAGACAGAGGCAGGAAATACTGCTTGTTTTAGCAATAATCTATAAACTCGGTGTCTCCTCTCCATATGCTTCTGTGCTAGAAGATCCTGTACTCAAATATCAGAAAAGAGCTCCTACACCTTGCCTGAAAACAAGAAGTGCAATCCAATCTCTAGCAAACTAATAAGGTATTAATAAGGTATTAAAAATTATCAAAAATAGCATTCCTTGTGAAATGACAGTCTAATCATTAGGGCATTTAAAGCCTGTGCTTAATGTAATGTACCTAGATGAAGCTAATAAGATATATATATTTCTTCAATGCTTCTGTAGATATTACACTATGGGGAAAACTTATCATTTGTTAAATAATTTAAAAGCCTTTTCAACATTTAAAATTTTCGTTTAAATACAATAGACCAATCTAATGCAGGTAAGTTATATTTTCTATATACTTTAGGGTCTCTCTTTTAGGGAATTAGATGGGCCTATCTAGAAACACCACAGAGGCTGAAAGCTGCACATGTGATTAAGGGAGTTAATGGATCTCAAATGTTTTCGTAAACTGCAAAGTAACAACTGTGTGCATGGTATGTTATTTATTAAACAGTTCTTCGAGAAAAGTTCACTAAGATAAGATCACTAACCTTCAGCATAAGCAAGGCTCCCATCATAAAGGGACTGAACACGGTCAGGAAACAATAGACAGAAGCTGGATCAAAACTAGAGAAGCATGAAAAAGGCATTACAACTTATCTTCGAAACGGCATTTTCCATTAGAAAAAGCAGAGTTATTTAGTTATTCCTCTAACTCACAGTGTGTATACACATTTTTAAGCAAGGCTTCCAACTTCTTCTTGTCTTGCTCAAGTATTAAATTAGCAAGGACTATTCACCTCACTTTTCTTTCTCTACATTTTTTCTCTACGTGTGCTTTTCGAGGTGCCACGCTGCCAGGGAACAGCTGAGCTCTCTGAACTCGCGCTGCCAATAAACTCCAGTGGAAACTGAGATGACCTAGTAACCGACAAGCTCAGGCTCTTGGGGAGCTTGTTGCACAGAGCAGAAATGAAATGAATTGTTATTATTATTCCACTGACTATTGCTTTAACGCTGCCGATTTTGCTATCCAAATTTCTATTCAGCATGCTAACTGTAGGGAGGTTTTTTGCACCCTGCTGCTTTTCAAATGAATGAATAAAATTTACCTGTTAACAGAAGCTATGTTGCCAGTGCCAAAAAAGGCTGTCACTATGAAGAAAACCTAGATGTATCTAAGGAAAATACACCACAGAAACAGTTACAGTAAAACAAAAACATTTTTCCCCTTCATTGCGGTTTGCTTTCAAAATCCTGTCATGAAACTACCAGAAGCTGACCCACTGTTACAGCTTTACACCGCAGTTAAGAAACACAAAGTATTGTCTAGCTCTACGCAACATTTCAGATATGACTATGTTGATTTTGAAAGACAGCGACTGCATGTGTGAGATTTTAGAGCCTGTCTCGAAGCCGCTGCCGGAGAGATGCAACTTGTTTTTCCTAGGCCCCTAGTGAGGTAGGAACGTATCTGGACAACAGTCCCAATTGCACTTTCAAATGTACACGTGCTTGCAGAAGGCAATGACGTACGCACGGGTACTGCACACCAATGTAGATCCCAGGAATCAACCGTGGAAGGGGCCATTAGCTGAGAAACAAGAGTAAAGGTTTTTACTCTATCCCTCCCATAGTTTTCTTGTCAAAGGTGGCACTGAGCCTATCCATCGCAACACGGGACTCCCAGTTATTCCCTACCGGGGTGGGGGGAAAGAAGGATTCTGGCAGGATCTGCATAGCTAGAAGTTTTTATAAACTTACCCTTTTCAGACAGATATAACCCTTGCTGCTATATGAGACCAGGAAAGGGGGAGGACGGTATCTTTCTACCTCTGGAGCTCATTGGGGTCCATTACGGCTCACACCTCTTCCATTACAGAAAGGTTTTAGTTTCTCTTTTCCATCAGCCAGAGATTTAGACACTGACAATGGCTCCTGTCTTTAGAGCTCCCTCTGGTCACTCCAGTCTGGTTATAGTTTCCTGCATTGGACCATTTAAGTCTCTGCATAAACATTTTGCTATGAACTCTACAACAGAATCGTTGGGATTCTGCATGCAATTTTTTGGAAGGATTAGGTCAGCATAACTAAAGAAATTATGCCTCCCAAGTGTATCACATCATTTCAAGTTTAGTAACATAGTAATCTAGCAGCACAGCACAATTCTGCCAGCTAAGATTCATAAGAACAACAATTCTGTAATAAAACAGAAAAAAAGAGCCCAGTAGCACATAAGTAGGAGTTGCAGCCTAATCAAGATGCTAAGCATATGCAATCTGCATCTTATTCTGGAAGATCAGGCTACAAGGCCCCTCAGGAGAGGCTGACTTTTGGGTCCTAAACGGGAGTCGTGACACAGTCTTTTAGGATACACAATTTACAGGGTCATAGTTGCAATGTGATTGCTCCAGCAGAGAAGGCTTCTCTTTTAGCACAACTATTTCTAATTGCTAACCATCTTCTAAAACGAGTTTAAAAAACTCTTCCGAGTTGGTATTTATTGTGCCTGGTCTCAGTAAAAGGCATGTATTTTTTCAGGAGCTGAACAGAATATGTTCAGGTATTTTAGATTAAGATGAGGTTAGAGAACGATTATGTTGAAGTTTTTTAAAAAAAAAAATCATATTTCTTTTTTTTTTTTGTTTCAGCCAGTTTTTAGTATCTGACAGACAATAATAGCTTTACTAAATTTTAGTTTGGTTTAGCTTTGTCTTTATACTAAAATAGCAACTGAAATAGCGAAGTTTACTGCAGGGAGTCTCTGCTGCTTTTCAGGTACACCCCAAAGCAAACACAAATACTCAGCACCTACTAAATCGTTTCGCCTCCTTCCTTAGCTCTAAACTTCCTTTTTAACAAGGTACCAGTCTCACCTCCTCTTCTGCAGGTTCCCAATTTCAATTAACTCCAGCCTCTACTCTGTGATTCTGATGAACCCTCTCTGATTTGGTTATCCTACAAACTATAAAGCCCGTTTTTGTAGGAACTGGCATTCAGACAACTGCCGCCTCAGCTCCAGCTATGACAAACAAGAAACCCTTCTGTTCCAGACTTGCTCATAATTTCTCTCCCACTTACACACCCATTACCCTTGCTGCCAAATCACCCTCACCTAACTGCAATTACATGATGAAAGAGAAAAATGGTATGATCACCAACTCTTTACAGTATTAAAAAAAGTCATCAACAGCGATTTTAGTTTCAGGTATGTAAAATAATTGTTACTTCAGTGAACAAACAAACAACACCTCCCAACCAAGCCAGGAGCATTTCTAACAGCGGAAACAACATATACTATAAATAATTCTGGGCCAGATTCTGGGAACACTTTTCCTTAGAGCCTGCAGTAACTTTCCTTCTCATCTCATCTGGCTGGCCATGGTCTACGCCTGCCCATAGCATTTTCTTCCTAATTTACAGCCATAGTCTAAACTGAGAAAGCAAGAATAATTTTAATATCACGTTTTCCAACTAGTCCGTGAAGGTTGAATGAGTTCCCTTCAGACAAAAAGTAATAAAACCAAATTCAAAACGAGTCCCCTTAGAAGAAAGTTTAACTTGGCTGTATGGTCATAAGAGATCAAATTTTTCAGAGTGGCCAAGGAGCCAGATCCCAAAGCAGTGCAGTTTGTACAGAATCATTCTATCCAAAACATAATGAACAAGACCACGGTCTTTTGAGCAGCACGAGTCAAATCATTCTGATCAGAGTCTACCAGTTTCTGTTTGCACCTGCTATCAGACTACTGATTTTGGTTGCAGTACCTTCTGAAAGTAACCCCTCTTTTTTTCCCCTGGAACACAGCAACCGCAAAAAGGATACAAAGAAGAAAGACCTACGGATGTCATCCAGGTGGAGCTGTCTAAAATGAGTTATATCAGTAGCATAGGAGAAGTTGAGAACAGCAAGCTGAAAAGACAGCAAAAGAAATCAATACATAATATCAACTGAAGTATTTTGATATACAAACCATATTTTTACTGGAATGAATGAGAAATAAACCTACTTCCCCATCAACTGTTATTGCAGTGGCATCCTGATGAGTACTGCAAATCTTTTGCATATTTTCATTATACTTTAACAAACTAGCCAGAAGGATTGTACAAGTGAGATGATCAAATGAACATAGTAGAATTTCTGCTGTTGCCTACACTAAAGAAGTAGTTCTATGCATTAGATTTATCATCTTTTTTTATCATAAATATTCCTCCTACACACAAACACACAAACTTTCACTGCTCACATGAGCATGTGGATAAAGACCCACAGCAATAAACGACTGCAAATATCTTCAGTTGACTTATGTTGTGAATGAGAATAGTAAAATATCCTCCATCTCCTTCACTCAGAGGAATTATCTTCATGGAATTTAAGAGGCCAATGAACTTTTTACTGAGGAAAAGAAAAAAAATAAGTAATAGATACTCAATACTGTCAACAATTTAATTAAAAATAATCTCTTGTCATCAGAGAATTGAGCTGGATTCTCAAATGTAAAATTTTCTTTATGACAAACATCAACAGTCATTCTAGAGATGATTTTTCTAATCTAAAAAGGGGAACCAGGACTGAGCATTATCATTCCTTTCATTTAAAATCAAAACAAAGGTCAGCAGACATACAGGGAGTGACAACAGAAAACTTAATTACAGCTCACTTGTGTTCTTTTCATTTGCATTTGGTTCATTAGGGGTTAATCACTGTTAATATATTACTTTAATAGAATTTTATTTTTAAACAAGCTAGAACATTAGATCTCTATCAGGCAGACGAATGTCAAAGATGCCTTGTTACAACATGCAAAAGGTCAAAGTGGGTCCTGGAGCAGGAAATAAATCTTAGAGATGACTGTGCTGTGCCAGAAACCTCCTGTTGCTATGTACAACTAAGTGTACATATTTCACATCCAGATTCCTCTTCTGTCGTTAAAGATGCTTCAGAACACACCCATGTGAAATACCTTAAGTATATGTAATGTAAATAAAAAGCAGTGATCCCCATTTTCATTTCTGACATACAGCCTTCAATTGGTAAATCCTGCTTTCTCTCAAGTTTTAAAATCATCTCCCTTGCAGGTCAAACACAAAAACACAGTATTTGTAAGGTGCGCTCTGCTGAATGCTTTTGCTCAGGTTTCACCACCTGGCATTTTTCCCAACTCGCTGCATTATTATGAGCTACAAAAGGAAGGAAAAATCTGTACCGCAGCTTCTCTTACAAACGACTCCAGCAACTCCGATTCATCCTAACCCACATTCTCCACAAACTGCATCAACGTCAGCCCACTTGGGAGAAATGAGAAAGAATAGTGTTGCACCACCTGCCTGGCTCAGCACAGCCAGGCAACTCCGTAACAAGCCCTTTGGTTCTAACCAACTCCAAGGCATAACCACAGCATTTTAAACCATTGGTTCAACGACTAAGAGCAAAGCGGCAATATGAGCAGCATGGGCTTTGAACATTGCTGACACAATACACTAAATCTTAGAGTGAAAGAAATTGCATTGATGCATGTTACAAAATTCCCTCTCCAGGAAAATCCAAGAATGTACTGCTTCCAGTTTAGTTGCCGGCTCCTTGTCTGTCTAATCAGAAATAAAACACTACCCTTGAAGAAAGAGAGTAGCAGGGCAAAGTCAAATAAGATTTCCGATATTTCCTATGGGTCATTTCAGCCTCTCACATGCACATTTGTGACTCTTCTATCAAAAGAGGAGAAAGTACAGCAATATTATACTTAATCTCAAGAGAGTTATTATACCCTATTCTGATTTAGAACTACACTCAAAGACCTCAGAGCTTTGTAGCTTACAGAATATATCAGTAAGTCAAACAGATTTCCTGCATTCTCAGGAATGGCTCTGATGAGGAATATCTTCAATAAAATCTCATATAAATCTCTTTTACAAGGTCACATTCCCATTTTATAACAGAGCTGATACTGGCTTTCCAAACTCAAAAGAAAGAATTGCAAAGTGTTGCTCTACGAAAACCCCTGAGAATATTTATTGTACCTCAAGGAAAAGACAATAAAGCTGATAATTAACCTGACATAAATATAACTATTTGCAGCTGTTACCTTTGGCTTGAGTGAAAGACTGTAGTGCTGCAGTGCTTCTTGTTCCATATTTATCCACACAAACATCAAACCAGACAGCACCAGTGGAAAGAGAGCTTCATATCTGAACAAAAATATAGTTAACCACAGTAAGTGCAGTCACTAAAAACTATTTAACATCAAATACACTGACTTTTTTCTTTAAACACATGACACACCAACGACCAAGCAGCACCCTGCTCCTTTCTCTCCCCATTTCTGAGGTGTACTCATAGTTTGTCGGTGAAGTTTAAAATCATACAGTGATTAAATGGTAGGTGTAGGAGAGACAGAAGCTGCTTCAGCTTTGGTTTTTTTGGATCTTCAATGTTCACATTTCTAGTAAAGAAATGTGATGGCATGGCCTCCGCAACATCAGATGGGTGCCCTTTGGTATGATGATTAATTTTAACAAAACCAGACCAAATAAAAAGGAATAGGGGAAAAAAAACACACTTAGCACCTGCTTTCTACAAAATAGAAAATTTTATAGTAAGAGCTATTTGCACTTGAGAACAGGAGGTGCAGTCTGGCTTAACGAGACAGCAGCTAGCAAGTTTCTCTCTTTAGGGCTCAATCACAAACTTATTCTGGTGATCTCAATCCAGCTCCTAGGAGAGAGGCAGCTAAATGATAAAAACAGCATTATGCTTCACCAAAGTCAAACCATCTTTTTCTTCACTACATACTTCCATCTATCTCAATGCCAGTGTCAAGTTATGCTCTAATCAAGGCAGCTGTGCTATCCTCCAGTATCAGACTCACTCCTGGCACCTAGAGCACTCAAGCATAGCAAACTATGAATGCATTTACTTGAGAGAAATAGACAAATTAACTCCCCTCCAAGTAACTTGGGAGTTACAATGCCATTGGATAATATTAATTCCTCCCTGCCTTCTATGCCATAGTTGCAAGTGGCGGTGTGTATCAAGGTGGGTTTTTTTTGGGGGGGGGG